TTTTTTGGAACATACTTAAAATGGCAAGAATTGCCATCCTATTGTTTCTTCTTAAGCTAAGGGGGTGGGGCAATTCTGAAGATATGAGCAAATTTAATTGAAAAAGAAAATTTAGCTTCACATTAAAATTAGAAGGAATAATCTGTACATCTCTTAGTTGTCACATTTGGTTTCCTTCAATGGGTAGCATTTTTCCTAGAGTTAAGCAATGCATTGAAATATTTTCACACTTCAGAGCATGGAAAATGTGATGTACTCCTAAGCCAAGGTCTGCATACTAAACACAAATTTAAAATGTGCTCCCAAAATTGTGGCTATAGTTTTATTATAGGAATAACCATGACTGTGACCGTGACCAAATATAAGACACAATAAACAGTTCAACCTCTAGAAGTAATATTCCTGAAGAGGTGGATATTGTTCACATATACATTAGGTTAAACCACAAGCCTAGATAAGCTTCTGATTGTCCAACGTCATAGAAGTCAGAATAAAGTTGAAGCTAAAAACCTGTTCTGCTAAATTCCAGGTCATACTCACCAGGACACTTTTTCTCAGGAGCCCAGTGAAAACGGGAGATGCTATAAAATATGTACCTAACAAAGCTTGTCAGCGACTTGAATGGAGCAAACCAGTCCAGATCTGAGAATTCTAGGAAATAAATGAAGTTGAACATTTACTGCCAACAACCATGTCACTGGGGCCACAGACAACTGGAGCCGCGCAGCTGGGGAGGGGAGGAGTCTGTAGCCAGAGAAGGCAGTGGAACGCACCCAGGTTGGATAATTTATGGTGTGCTGATGAAGAGGCAACTTTCCATATGAGGAACAGCTTAACAGAGGAACAGTCAAGCTAAACTAGGAAGAGGTCCAGTGAGAGAGAGAGCGAGCAACAAAAGCGGACGTGAATAAAAATGACAGGTAATAAAACAATACAAATCTAAAATGCTGTAACTTTCAGAAATAATTTAGGGCCAAAAGAAGAGGAAAAAAAAAACTAGTTTTGCTGGTGTTGGGACAATTTTCCAAGAAGCAAAAGACATGAAGCAAAATGAATGTGCTGAATTTAACACCAAGTTTGCCTCCATGTCTTTCTAGCTACAAGTTTCGTTGCTTCTAAGGCTGGTTTATCCATAAAAAGTGTTAATTTTGTTTTTACTTAGCTGATGTATCTTTTTTTTTTTTCCCCCAACAAACATCTGCTGTGCACTATTCCATGTCAGCCACTGGACCCTCTGTGGCTCTGTGCTGAACCTCTGTTCACAGGCACAGTTCCTGCCCTCAAGAGGCTTATAATCTAGTGTGAGAGGTGGACAAGTCCACCCTCAGCTTCTGGACAGCAAGGTGGGTGCTATGACAGCTAGAACAGGGGCAAGGGAAGGGCAGAGGGACAACCGCAGGAATGAGGTGCTGCCTGGGCTGAGACCTAAGGAATACAAGCCCCAAAGTGAAGCCTGGCATGGAAATAATTTAGTGAATGTTGCTTTCTATTCTGATTGAATAGACACTTACCAAACCTCCATGCAATCCAAACCCGTTTTTATTTAAAAATTAAAATGCATTTCATGGCCAGGTACAGTGGCTCATGTCTGTAATCCCAGCACTTTGGAAGGCTGAGATGGACAGATCACGAGGTCAGGAGTTCGAGACCAGCCTGTCCAACATGGTGAAACCCCATC